CTAAGGAAGAGCAGAATGCACTTGCAGCTACTCCAGCTCACCCTGAAGGACTATATGGTTAGAGCTCTCACTTGTTTTCCAGATTCAACTTGCGAACAATTGAGATTTTATTTATGGCATTCACCAACATGAATTTTGCTTGATTTATCAGTCTTATATGCTAGCTGTTTGGTCGTGAATTTGGTTGAACAACTGTGGAATTTCGCATGGCCGTCCGCCATTGCAATGCTATATCCGAGCTTACTACCTGTGGCAGTCATGGGCTTTGTCACCAAATTGGCGATAATTATTGGGGGTCCAGTGGTTGGAAAGTTTATGGATCATAGTCCGAGAGTTCCTACATATATCTCGTTGAATGTCATTCAGGTAATCTTTTCAAGAAAGCCGAATTATTCAGTGTAGTACAGTTTTACTCAAGGATCACAAATGACCTTTTGGTTACTTTCCTTCAACTTCTGTCATTTGACATCACAATAAGGTAGCATAAACGGGTTTATCTACATGTTCAGGTAGCTGCTCAAGTGCTCTCTGCAGGAATGATAATTCATGCATACACGGTTCCTTCCTCATCGGTGTCATCAATTCTTCTGCAGCCTTGGTTTTTTGCATTGGTATTCGCAGGGGCCATTGATAGACTATGTGGAATAGCATCTGGAGTTGCCATAGAACGTGATTGGGTTGTATTGGTATGCTTTCTTTGTGATGCCAATGCCATAGAATACCTATTTTCAGCAGAAGAAAGACCGACTAAAGTAATTAATTTATCATTTGGTAGTTAGCGGGCATAAACAGACCAATCGCTCTTGCACAAGCAAATGCTGTCCTCAACAGGATTTATCTGCTTTGCGAGGTATAGTAACTTTCTAGATGGATTTCATGTGCTTTATGCCCTTTGAACACTACGTGAAATGACCATTTTTTACCTGAAATAGATCGCTGGGACTACGTTATTTGGCATCCTCCTATCAAAGTATGACCCTGTGACCTGCTTAAAGTTTGCTGCCGCATTAATGATGGGTTCTTTGCCAACCATGGTAAGTAGCAATGCCTTGCGGACTTTTGGTTAGCCTTTCCTCGTGCAAGACTGAAAAGTAGTATTTTAAGCTAGATAAAGAGAACACAGAGCTGCTGTGTTGTAGGAGACTAAACTATGTAAAAGGAAATCATTCACATTTGTCGTGTGCCAAGTGTAGAAATCTTTTTCCTTGCTCATGCAAAGCGGTCTTATCGTTCAGTCCTTCCAACGGTACTATAGCAGTTTACATGGGATGACTTTTTTGTCATAGGTTTTTGGATAATTATTATAGCAGCGTAGATTAGGTCTATTACTTTTTTACGCTAGACAATATTTTGTCATCACAGTAGAGTGATGTTCTGCGTCATACAAGTACAAGTGCGTCAAGAATCCTTTGCTTCAGATCCGAGATGCAGTTTCACTTGCTCATTACCAATCCTTTTCGGACATTTTTCTGTGTCATCATCCTGGCAAAGCGTCTTGCACTTCTAATTGACAAA